TAACGATGGCGAAAAGTTTACAACGACACAATCTCTTCGAGTTTACTCGTAAAGTTTAATATGCCTGTAATAAAGTCCGACTTTAGAAACTATTTTGCGAAACGTAAACATGTTAATAGAAATGTTACTGACATATGTCGTTTGAAGGGATCAATAAACTCGACTGCATGCGTGGGCGCTCTATCTTTTTTTATTACATAAATATTAAATGTACAACTTTTTTTTGCAAAAGAAAGAAAGATTTTTAGAGACACATATGTGTCGTTTTAAATTTTACATTTTAAACACGCAAGACTTATCTCTTTGGTTCAGGCGCCGACAGTATATGTGCCTAACAAATGAGCGTGTTTATTATCATTTTGGATTGGCTTTCCTAGATTATCGAGTCTCCCTCGCCCTTAATTGGCACATAGAAAGCGTCGTGTAAAACACTCTTAATATATACGAAGAGCGGAAGTGTGCACTTGGCTGATGAGGCCTGAAGATCGGGCCGGGTCGAGAATGAATTACGTGCCACCGAATTAATAAACTTTTTATAAGCATAGAGAAGGGAGGGACTGACCGAGATTCACAGATACGACACGACACTTTTCACAGTCAGCAGAATGATTGGGTCACGAACGCTTCGTTCTTCGGTCGCCTTATCTTATAGCTGACGCGTGTCGGCTATTTTAATTTCTTTGCGTTCTATCAACGCATCATTTGAAAATAGACATTTTTCCCCAGTCGTGAATGTGTATATGAGATTTTTCATATATCAACAATATATGATAAAAAATTGATTTGTTGAAAAAACCATAGACGATTATAATTATATGTTTTATATAGACTACATCAAGATATATTTGATGAATATCTAACTGAAATTACTTTCTTACAAATTCTTTACGTCCGCTTCCGAAGCAAATACTATTTTTATGCGCCGCGCTCTTCGGTAAGATTGCTCGCGTTTTCCTCTCCTGTTTCACGTCCCCGTCATTGCGATTCGGCGTTATCGTAGCTCCGGGACACCCTGTAGACGGGCAATCGAGATAAAAGGAGCACCCAGTGAAATATCGCGCTACCGGCATTATTACTTGTGGTACAGCGGGCGAGATACGTAGGAGCGTGTCCTTATTACAACGTTCCACGCATTATGTCTCTTGATAAGGCAACGCAGCTGATCGAATCGATAAAGAACAATGGCCAGTGATGCCGCCCGGTAGCATAAATCGGGCGCTGCTTTCCCTCCGCGCGCACGTATAGGTTCTAGGTAAGTGTAAAAGAATACAAGATACCGGATACCGGTTGTTGTGTCTCGGAGACGCGGAGGTTTTCACGACAGCACCGCCATTAGCAACGCGAGACAACTCGTGATCTTAATAAAAGTCAGCTTGTAAAAGCCACTTGAAATTACATTCTTCGCGCGATGCGAAAGATACATAAAAGGCTCGTCTCAGATTCGGCCGTGTTGTCGTGAATGAAATGCGAGTGGCCGTACAAGAAAAGATTTCAACATTAACACTAAATACATAACAGTAATATTATTCGTTTGTATATTTTTTAATTTTTTTAACGTTATAGATGAAATTGCAATTTTAAAATAAAGAGCGATTCGTTCACTAATAGCTATAGGATTATCTATGGTTCGTATTTCGTTCACTTTTTAGTCAAAACTGTAAAAAAGAGAAAAGCTTTAAGATTGTATTAACGTCAATCTATATTAGTTGGTTAAATTTTTATTCCATGAAAATTTCACGAGGAAACGAGTTTTGTTCGTAATAGAGAAATCGCATTTGATGGTATAATCCCGTCTGATGGGGGACGGCCAATTATATTTATGGGGAACAAAATGTGTGGCGAAAAGTGTACAAATGAGAACCGGCGAAAGAGTCCCTTGGCCGCGTGTCCATCAGATTTCACATGTCAACTGGCACCCAGGACGTTTGATTTCGCTCCGAGATATTGTCTCTCCATTCTTGAGTGTCCATTCGTAGACCTTTATCTGATGGGACGTATCGATTTTCCACCACGCGATATGTCAAAATACCGATAATCCGCATGAACGGTTCCTCGAGCATGATGCTATTATTATCGGGAAATCTGCTGTCGCGCTTGTTGAAAAAATGGAAAGGGACATCTAATGGCGCGAGATGAAGTTCATGATACGGAATAGAATGTAATACTATACCAGCAAATAATAGTTACAATTCCACAGAAATAAATTTCATTCCAATTTGTTATGAAATATAGACCATCATTTCAATTTATTATGAAAATATGACAAATTTACAATAGAGAGATGGAGAGAAAAAGAGAGAAAGAGGTTCTTATTATTATTTTTACATCAATTAACGTACAGCGTCATTTTAGCATCATTTTTAAATCTTTCTTATTTATATAAAAAAAATTATTACGTAAATTGGGATGGATACATTTAATTTTTAATTTAGTATTGTAATTGGATAGAGATATGTGATACTCTTTTTTTCTATTTGTTGTTTGTTCCAAATAACTCATCTCTAATTTTTGTTCTTAAATAATTGTTTATTAAACCGATTTCCATTTTATCTCTTTTGTTTCTTTCTTACGAAAATAGATCCACAATAAACGACAAAGTCATTATCACGGTACTTTTACCGAGCGCTTGCAATCCACGCTAAAGATTGGCCCATTAACCGAAATATCGATTACCCGGACATTCTCCATCGTCCTCCCATTAATTCGAGTAATCGACTTCCCACGGTGTATTCCCTTGGCTTGATCGAGCTACGCTAAATCGCGGTGTGATCACACCGAACACCTCATTAGTTCTCTTGAAAAGAGAATTATCGATAGGGGATCAAAAGATTAACGGAAGAAGATTGATCTCGATTCTGTCAATCTGCGCTCGATACGTAAAGTTACGAAATTCGTCTGTCGCGAAGAGTTGCCGTAGGTGATGACCGTCTTTTTTTACGCCGCCGAAAGCCCCTTTGCATTCCTACGCGCCCTTCGTTTTTCTTTCGTGCGAAAGGTGATCGATCAAGATCACGGAAACGCGCCGACTCTTCCTGGCCGACATCCGGAAGGAACGATAGGGTTGAATATTTATCAGCGGGCTCCACCCCGGCATATCCGCGGGCACATTGTGACCGCGATATCGCCAGTCTGGCATAAAACATCCTATTATTCGACGTGAAAGCCACCACCCTGGTTCCGTTTTACCGTAACGCCGTCCTTACGCGCGCTTATTTTCCCTTTCTGGTCGCGCGATACGGCGATGAGATACGCTCGCGTAAGGAATAGCACGAGCATTATACCCCGTCAAGTCGCGTCGCGTCGCCTGTGCGCGTCTAATTTTTTTACAACCCCCCGCGCCACGTAGAAGTTTCAAAGAAACGGTCAGCCCATTCGTGTCGGTTATGTGTGGGGCGTACTCTTTTACATGAAGTCACATACAAAGAATACATGCTGTAGGTTTTCTGTGAGATGACTGTGCTTGGGAAAAGGAAAAGTTTTAAAGGACCTTTTGACGCGGAATCGCTGTTGTTGAGTCGCGACAGTTACCGGACGGAAGTTGGATGTTCTGAAAATTATTGGACAGCAGCATTTATTGGATATAAGCTACTTTCTGCAAGGTAGAAATTCTTTTTAGAAAGTATTTCCTTTGCATATGTATCGCATATACGCATATTTTAACAATTTCAATCAAATCCCGAGTTATAGTCGTGCGTTAAGACTCCGATAACATTTGTCACTTCCGCTTTCTGGATTTATATGATATCCATCTTTCCCTTGCGGCTGGGTCTCAGTGTCGCAAGTTGAGAGACCCGCGGAGACCCTTCAGTTGCCTTTTCAATCTCGATTGCATCCTAGTGATTGCCTGACTTGGCGATTTTCGCTTTAGAACGAACCGCGTTATTTTCCGCCAGATATCGCAGGAAAGTGAATTAAGGAAATTGCCTATATATTTAATGTGAGCGATCAGATTTTTGGTTATGCCTTTTCTGTCTCATTCAATGAATTCGTCGAGTGTGCGCATCGATGATATTTTAATCTTATTAAAATATAAATTAGAACGAGAACGCAAATATATTGTTATCATCACTGGATTTTATCAAAGAGCATTTTAATCTATCGAGAATATTTGTAGTTAATTTTCATTCATGTGGTCTTCAAATATATAATTATGATAATATATTTATTATATATGAATGTTTTATGATAGAACATATTAATATTTATTATTATAATATATTCATATACACATATGTTACGAAGAAAATATTTTTGCAGACTATAATTAAGTCCTTATAAATAGCTAATTTTGTCAAACGAAAATGAGAAGTTAATATTTTTAAAAAAGACTTAAAATTTTCAGAGTTCGAATTTCTTATAATTTATACATGTCTGTATCGTCCGTTCTGCTTCTGCGTGTTAAATATTAGTATTATAAAAATGTTATTTGATTATCGAAAGAGTTTAACTTTCCAATCGCTGTTGACAGCGTTTTTTTTTCGCTCGTGCTCGCTGCAGGTGAAACGAGTGTGGAAAGGGCGAAGCTCGTCGAGTGAATGGAGCCACGCGGGGAAAATCCACGAAGGGGAGAGAGCCGTTGTGCGAGTGAGACGTTAATGAGGAGAGCGCGCTTGTGTGTTCGTACGTGTGGGATATGCATTCACTCGCGTACTTACGTGAACTAACTACGCGAGTAGTACCTCGAGCGAGCCAGACCTGTCGCTGAGCTGCGCACCAAGTGGTCGGGATACGTATGTGATCCGACTGGCTCTAGACATTCAGCAGACCGCGCCGTGCGGCACTCTTCATGTGAAATTCACGCCCGTATGAATACGTCTGCGATAACCTTCCGATACTTGAGCGACAAACGAAATTGCTAATTACGTGCAATAATAATTCGCATCGTTGCATTCATTCTTATTTTTTTTTATTTGTCTATTCAGGATTTGTAAGCAGAATATATTCTTTATTACGTCTTGATTTTCCAAGATACTACAATGTTGTATTTTTTTTCCTTCCAGGTGCGACTTAATGACGGTCACGTAGTGGCAAGAAATGCGTCGGAAGGATTTGGTACGTCATTAATTAATTAACTTTAATTTTAAATTTTAATTCTTCGATATAACCAAGAAAGGAATATATGTAATAACAAATTTAAATTAATTCTTATAAAATATCTCGATTTTATCTTAAATTGTCCTCTCTAAAATTTCTGTGTCGCATGAAGAACATACATACATATATGCTACGCTAAATTATGCGCCACTGTACAAAAAAATCAGTCAGAATCGCCAATCGTTAGGCGCTTAGTTAGTTAAAGCTACTTCATATGCCGACAATTTGCAATAATCATGAGTTCGAGAACAACTCTTCACCTTGGATCATCCTGCTAGGCAAACAAAGCCGAGCAAGCGGGGTGTTCTCTTCGCGTTTGCTAGTCAAAAAGTTCTCATGGAAATACTCGGCGTTACTCGGGCCGTTGAAACGGGAATGGTGAAGGAGGAGGTAGGGAGAAGGCGCCAATAATAAAGGCCGCTTTTTGGTTCGATCGAAAACTTTTTTCATCTCACCGGCACCTCCGATCGCGCGCGAGCCCTCTACACTCCTCCTCCCTCCTTTCTCCACCATTCCTCAGCCTCATCCCTGCGCTTCTCCATTCGCGATCGTTCCTCGAAACGAGGAACTCATTATTCGAGAGCTTTGGCTGACGTAAGTGTTGACAGATAAGTGAAAGAGGCGCCAGCGCGGCCGCCGGTAGACGGAATCAATGGTGAAAGGAAAACGCCGAACTCCTACGGCGTTTTAATCAATCTCCTTCTCGTTCTCTCCCTTTCCCTCCTCTCCTCTCTCTCTCTTTCTCCTTCTTTCACCTCTGGTCTTCCTATCTATCGCCTCTCACGTCTTTCGGAGAGCCACATTTTCGTAGCCCGACGCCTGGCTTCCGTTTCCTTTTCTGCTCGTAGGTGAAGGTCCCTTTCACCTCTTCTCATCCACCCTTTCGTGGATCTATCCTGCAGACGGAGAAGGGGGATGGACTCGGTATCTCTCTGAGAACACCGCCACCGTAGTTTGTATAGTTTCATTGAACTTGATGCGGCGGGACAGGGAGCAGAACAGACGAGCTGAGAAGGGTGCGCGAGAGAGGGTGAGGTAGGACGGTGGGATCAGTCTCGTTGCGAGGGTGGCGCGCGGACATTTTGCATGGGCTACAGTTAATCAGCTTCGAGCAGTGACGGAGCTTCTTGGAGAGTCGCACGACGAAGCGGAAGACTGTGTATTTTGCTTATTCGCGCCAGCCGTTTAATTCGAGGATTGCGTAAGGAAAATTCTGAGCGTTGAGAGATAAATTTCATTTCTAGTTGTATTAATTTTATTAATTTTAAAATACTATATTGCTCAAATTAATATGTGAAGGATACAATTTACAAAATTTAGAATTCAGCACTTTTTTCTTTTCCAATAAATAAATGGCGGACATTTTCAAAGAGTTCAATTTTTTATCTCGCATTTCTTGGAAGTTTCTTAGGCTAAAACAACTTTTGCCATTTGACAGATTTGAATTTTTCATTGCTCTATACTATAAATGAAAATTTTTTTTAAAATAATGTTTTTTTATGATAAAATTATTACTTTTTATTACAAGGCGAGGTGGCAGCATAATATTAAGCTCCGAAACTTGCTTAATTTGTATAAAGACGAAAGGGAAAGCTTATTTCGCGCGATACGCGCCCAATCAATCATTCAGCCAAGTCACTGAGTCATGGGCGACCGATGTGGAAGTTGCGGCGGGGTCGGGGGCGTCCACAATCAAATATTCAACAGACGCTGAGCTGCAAAGTGCCAGAAACTCGTCCCGGGCCCGCCGTCGCCGCCGCCATTCCGAAGGCGGCTTCCTCCCTCGGGACGTCGCCCGGGAGAGCCGAAAATCCGACAAGCCTTACCGTCGGCTCAACGCGCGACGTCCGTCGGGAAACAAATCTCGGAAACTTGCCCTTCCCCTCCGATTATTCACCCACTCTTTGCGCAGCACCAGTATTTGGTTCCCGATCTGCGCTTTCGATATTTAAACGTAATCGTACGTGAGAAGGGATGACCAATGGTGGATTCGGAGCAATCTATTGCTCGCGAATTCAATTATCGGAATTGGCCACGGGAAGATGAGTTCGCGCGCGAGATATTTCGTCGCGCCAGAACACCGAAATCGATTTCAGTAAGAAATTTTTATTATTTTCTTGCATTATATGGTATACATATATATTTTATATTATCCTTTTATATTTCGCGTGCTAATATAAGATTATTATTGAGCTTTGTAATATCAAGATATCGATTAATTTTGTACATTGTTTCGTACTTCAGTTTCTCAATTAAGATAATTGCGATATTGAAGATGGAATCGATAGCTTCATTTTTTTTTAATAATTTCATAATATCAAACGGATTATTTCATAATTAAAATTTTTTGAGTAATTAGTTTTAACGTAATTTTTTTTTATTAACGTTAATACTGTTATTTGAGGAAAAATCCCGTGTCGCTTCGGAAAGAGAGGAGAACGTTTTTAATTAAATACAACGTAAGGAGCCTTGAGGTGCGCCGTGGATTTTAGTGACGCCTCGAAACGATGTAAAGTTTTGCGGCGAGCGTTTTAATTAATTTTTGCGAACTTCGATGACCCGCTTTCCCAGTTTTAACTGACACGGACGTTTCCCGCCTAAGGGTTTGACGTACCCCAGAAACGTTGAAGCGAGCATACATTACGTGTAACATATTATACGGTGTGCCTTCTCGCCTACCGAAGAGAGGACGTACCTTGCGGAAATGCGAGAGACGGACAGGGACCGAGACAGAAGGTTAAACGAAAGGGAGAGTTATCACCAGGCTCGTAGAGATTAGCGCTGATGGACAGAGGCAATTGCCGGTATAAATCCCGTGGAGAATCCGGGGAAGTCGCATAAATGTTGGGCAAATTCGAAGATGCGAGCCACCACTAATTTTGGTTTTTAACGATCTTAATTAAAAGTCGCGGTCTAAACGGCTTTAATTAAGCGGCCCTATAAGGGGGTCCGCCATTTTTCATATTCTGCACCCTCGCGCCACCGTGAAACCGATGCCGCGTAATTTGCTCTTCCGCGTGGGCGCTTAATTAATTTTTTGCCGACCGGCGAGATGTATAAAAAAAAAAGGGCGCACGCATATGTACGCGTGTCCTTCTAAGAAGCGTATGTGCGATATGCTTTAGCGGGGAAAAAGGGAGACCGAGGATGCGAGAGCGAAACGGTCAGGTCTCGCGGATTAATCCATCTCGTTAATGAGATTTTTTTTTTTAGCAAGAGGAGGGATTGATGCGCAAAGTATCGTTGTCGTAATTTGAACAGTCGCACGTACATCAAAACTCGAAATAGGAAAAGTTCTAGAACATTGATGTGTTTTATAATTTTAGTATTGTAGATTAATGAATCGAGTAAGCTAAAAATTTTTTAGATGTGCGAAAATTGAATTAGTTTTGGAAAAGCTTAGAAATATTAAAAAATTTAAAAATAATCCGAAAATTCGATCCAGTTACAAACGCGAAAGAGCAGGAGGCAACCCTAGGGATTTCCGCGACGTCACTTGCCTACGCATTATATGCGTATTAGATATGCTCGGATGGAGGAGACGTAGGGGACGGGAGGGGGGGGGGGAGGTGAAACTGGAAGGAGAATTATCGTTCGGGTCGTAGAGATTAGCTTCGCGCAGTCTCGATGGGCAGAGAGACGGACTCCGCTTTAAATCTTACATGAGGGACGTAATGTCAGGGAAATTCAGAGATGTGATCCATTAGCAACAACGGCAGCAAGGCGGAGGGAGGAGAAGAGAGCGCGTGTTCTCCCACGAGAAATAACCGTAATCGCTTTTCTCCCTCTGCATTCTCTTCCATCCTTCCACCGAAACGCGAAAGGCGGGTTGGGAGGGGGGGGGGAGGGAGGAGAAAGGAACCGTGCAGTGTACCTACATGCCGCCCGTATGTGTCATACTTTTACCCGGGATTTTCGAGAGCGTGTCCTCGTCGTATTTATACGTAAGACGTTGTAGAAATGCGTGTCAGAGAGATTCCGAGCTTCGTACCTGAGACTGTTCAATCACTCGCGTTGGATTCCTGCGAAGTACGCTCCAAGGACGATCTGATTGAAAGGGACTAATTATTACTGTTATACGGTAGGAAACGTCCGAGGCCGACGGACTTGTAGTTTCATCTTATACTGTTATTACATTATTACATTTTTATTTTTATGTAGAATATTTTAATTATCTGAGTTGCGATTCGAATTGGCTTTTTTTTTTTTACTACAGGATAAATAGCGCGACCAGATTTTTTTTTTCATTTATTAAACACACGATGTATAATTTAACTTATTTTTTATTGAGAGCGAAGTTGCCGGGGTTTTAAACACCACCTGCTCGCGCAATAACAATAACTCGCTTGTTTTTGACGGGTATCGAGCTACATATAGAACTATCGCTCTCCCGAGACACTCTTTGCGTCTCTTCTTCGCGCGTTTTCATTCTTCGCGAGTACCAAAAGCCGCGTTCCAAAATAACGAAGGCGGAAGGAAAAGGGGGAGCGAAGCAAGAGCCGCGAGGCGAAAGAAAGCTTAAGAGTAAAGCGCGGGGGCCCACGGGGATGAAAATAGCGAGGCGGAGGAGAAGAGAGTGAGAGAAAGAGAGGGAGACGTTCCGCTTTATGAACGATCGGAATTTAAATTGCTTTTCCTCCTCCCGCTGAGGGATAGGGGTGGAGGGGAGGGGGGCGAAGTTTTCGTTCCTCCTTATAAATCCCAATACCCTTTGGTATCGGCCGTGGTGCGAGAGAGAACGAAGACAGCGGCGACGGAGGGGGAGAATAAAAGTGGGAGGGGGAGAGAGAGAGAGAGAGAGAGAGGATGAGAACGGAGCAGCAGTCGCGAATGGAATATGAAAATATTTGGTATATGGACGGAATTCGCGGCGTTTTCCCAGCCAACGTCGGCTTTGTAGCTCGTACGAACAGAAAACGCCGGCGAAATTGTGTTCGCCGCGATAACTCGTCGCTATG